AAAAAAAAAAAAAAAAAAAAAAAAAAAAAAAAAAAAGCGTAAAAATTAGGGTATTTATTTATATACCTAGTATTTTTTGTCGTCGCCTAGCTATACCACTCATCAATGCCACTTGTCGAAAGCGTTTATGTTTATGTATCTGTTTTTCCTTTCTTCCAACAACCTACTATATAAGCAGGCTTTTTAATGTTTAAGGTTAGTTGGTTAGAGCACAAAACAATTATGTTTAATAGAAAATGTATGAGAAAAAGTTTAGCGACCAAACTACAGTTACCTAGTAGAATTGGAAAGAACAAGATATTATTTTTTTCTAATTAAGAACTACAAAAATAAACACTTTTAAATGGCTGCATCTTATCAAAAATTTAGCAAAAAAAGTTAGAAAGGAAAATAAACGGCGTAGTATCGATCGCAATTTTTTGTCGCAGCATAGAGTAATGGCATAAACTGTCAACTGCTGTCGGGGGTTTAGCTCAGGGGTAGAGCGCTCGCTTCGCATGCGAGAAGTCGGGGGTTCGAATCCCCCATCCTCCAAAATAATTTTCCTCCCATGCCATCAAATGCTAATACTACTGGACGCTGCAGCTCTGAATTGTCGTTTTCATTTACTTCCGGCCTCTTCTTCACTGTACTCAGAGATGTAACTCACGGGCGGCAAAGCTGTGCATAGCTCCTGTGAATACATGTCTTTCCAGACGACTTTTTAGATAGACAGATTGACCGTTCAGTGATATACAAAAACGACATTTAATACTTAAAAACAAAAAAGCCACTTTATTCTTTGATATTAAAGTTCAATAGCCTAAATAACAACATTTTTTCAAAATTGCCACTGATTTCAAGGAGGCTGTTAACTCTAAAATAAAATTGACAAGCGGTTACATTATCCCAAAAATTAATGTTTATGAAGAAGTTGGCAATAGATAGTGAAAGTGGTTTAAAAATTTAGCCAGAAAATAGGAAAGACTCCTGAAAACTTCAATTCTGACTGAATTTTAAAATAAAAAATGTGCTAGATTTTTAAGGTAAAAAAAAATTTAGTCTGTTTCTGTTTGTTCATATGAATGCCATAATGCATGAATCTCTTTATAAAATTCTGTCATTACGTAAAAACTCTTTGTAATATTTCCGAATATTCTTGAGCTTTGAACTTCATAAGAAAGTGGCTACTTGGTTAATTTGGTTCAGCGACATTTGTTTATAAATGAGCAAAACAGTTGATAGTAGATTAGAAATTATTTTAATAAATTGTTTTCACCAAAAAATTTTGTATCTGACTTATGCACTTTTCGATCAGTTTTTAAGGTTTCTGTTACATTGTTCTAATAAGATGAAGTTTTTATTTTTAAACTTTTTAAGTGTTAATAGGAAACAGGCTTAGACAAGTCCTAGTAAAGTTTTCAAACAATACTTGTCGGTTGCTAAATAGTGTTTGAAATTATGGAATTTTAAAGCAACTGCTTCTGAAAGTAATTTGAAGTTAAATTGTTAATCACTTTGATAAATTAAGGTTGTATGCAGTCATTTAAGCTTTAATTAATTTAGCAACTTATTTTTGATTTTGTAAAAAGATCAATTCTGTCAGGTCACATGTATAAAATGTGTTCGTATCAGTGCTGCAAAGTCTGCTAAATTTTCATTATTTTTATTTTCTATCACCTCAAGTGTGTCAAATGATTTATATTAGTGGCAACTTGAAGAACCTTCTGTAGTATAATCTTAGTTGCCTGCAGCTCATTTGAGAAGGGCATCATCACGTAATTTTGATCTTCTCAGGTTAGTTGGTCAACTTCAACTAAATAAATAGAGATTTCCTCAACTTTATTCATTACTTGTGTGTCCAGCAGTTTAGTCGTGTTTGGACTGTCGTTCAGTATGTGGAAGCTGCTAGTTGTATTAGCACTGTTGTGCTGTAAGTTACTTTTCTTAGCTCAGTTTTCGCTGGATTTCTTTTTTAGTGTCGATCTTTGCCTTGACAAATATTTGATAGGAGCAGAAATTATTCAAAAATTGGTAGGTTTAATTCTACTGAGCTGAGTTTTTAGTTCTTTGTCAAAGTGTTACATGAGTAGTTTAGTAGTTTATTTGGTTTATTTAGTTCAGTAGTTGATTTGGTTTGTTGTTGCTCTTAAGCATTAAGATAGAAAGGTGTTTGACATTTCTGTTAATTGAAATAAAACTTTCAGATTCTTCTACAATCGGTCTGGTACTTTCGCCGCAAGTGCTAAGTTCGTCGTTAATAATGATTTTTTCTAGTTTAACAGAATAAGAGATACAGATATGATGAAGAGCGCATTCTCAAATTAAAATTTACTTGTAGGAAAGTGCTTTATAAATCCTTAAACTAAAAGGAATAAGTGGTCAATAAACTGTCTAATTTTAGAGGACTTTTGCACATATTATGGCTCTGGCACTTTTGGATTAGGTTGTTCACCTTACTTTATTATCTGTAAAACTGATATACAAGATCTGCGTCGTTGCCCAGATCCACTAGTCTTTGATGAGACGCTTATAAGCTGTGTGCCAAAAGTAAGCTTTTGAGCATGCAGCTCACCTATGTTATGTTCTTCTAATGTTTGCTTGTTCATTAAGGTTTGTAATGTATATTTTGACTTACCAGTACTTACTTTTATTTAGAATAAGTCTGTGGTCTGTGACGCAGCTAAGTTGGCACTGCTTGCTAAAGCACCAGTGGTGAAACAGACGCCTGAAGGTAATGTTTCAAGTCGTCTTTTTATTCTTGATTTTAATTATTTACTTGCAGCGTTTTCCTGTGTTGGAAAAGTTGACGGAGTATACAAGCAAAAATGTGCATCTCTTTTTGTTGTATGTAACAACGAGGAAGCGACATTCCTGTCATGTCCACACGGCTTGATGTATGACGGAACAACGGCGAAGTGTAGGAAAGAAGTTTGTGTTATAAACTCAATTTTTTCTGTACTCAAAAGTTCCAGAAGACGATAAAAGTTGCAGGTTGAGAAGTGCGAAAAGGTGAAAGCCAGAAATAAACTTATTGCACCGGCTATGAAAGGCTTAACAGGCTAGTTTTTATTTAGCCCCTAAGATTGATACAAGTTTCACCAACTAGGTTTCAATTCACTTTAGCTTTTTCCTGTAAGGATATTCCGAACGGGTTTTACCCACAAGTTGCTGAAGACTTTGTAATAAAGTGCGACAATGGAAGAGCAACACTCCTTCACTGCCCAAGCAATTTGATTTTGAATCCGAGAGAACAGCTATGTGTTGAAGCACCGCTTTTAAGACGCAGGGTAAACTTTACATGTTAACATTACCTTCGAGTAGTACGCAGAACTTTCTTACTGTTTCACGATTCAGCGTTTTATCATGGATTCTTTACTGACTGATTTGGTGCCAGAAGTTGCTTTTGAGTACGACCCATTCGGAGGGTTTTACGACCTCAGCACATTTACTGTTACTTCGTTACCGTCACCACTTGCGTTTTACCCAAGTTAGTCTGAGAGAGGTTCCCAATTAATAAACTATCGTTTTTTGGCTTGGATAGACTGGTTCAAGTGGTCTGTAACTTTAGCGTGTACTGGTTTGTCATATGGTGTGCATGCTTTTGGTTGCACTGCGAATTATATCGTCGCTTTACCGAACTACTGCTCTATGTTCACATGTCCAGTTGGTTTTGCTTACAACACGGCTGTACAACTTTGCGCTCCTGAGGTAAGCTCTAATAGTTGAGCAAGTAGTTACCTCTACAAGTGCTTCAGTAGAAGTGAGGGGTTTTTTCTATGTAACTCATCTTGAACCGACACTATTGTAGTCCTGGCAAATAATCTTTACAGGTCGAAGTCCCAGCGTGTAATGTGCTTACTGCTCCTGTTACTGTCGCTCCAGTCAAGGTAGCGCCCAAGGTTGTTGCTCCGGGACCTGCCGCAGAAATAGTGGTTCCGGCCCCCGCTGCTCCTGTTACCGTCCCT